CCGTGAGCAGTCCCGGAGCCTGGTGAGCCTGTGGAGATCATCCCCGCCAGCTTCCCACGTTCCCCAGGACTGTCCAGGCCATAGTCCTGCAGATGCCAGAGAGGCTTGGAGAGAACCAGTGCGGAACACGAACTCGGGGCCCAGGCCTACCTGCCTCAGTTTCCTCACCTGTAAAATGAGTACAACAGTCATTCCTACCACGTAAGGTTCTTGTAGGAAATAAAAGGAACTACTCTGTGCAAAAACGCTGGGAACAGGCACTTGGAAAGGAGCGTTCACATGCCACCCGCTGCCGCCTGCTGACATTTCACATCCCTCACCTCCGCTCCCGCAGGAGCGCTTGGAAATTCGCTCAAAATGTCCAACCCCAGTGAATGGAAAGTCTGAGACTGTAAAAGGGGTTCGGTGAAACTCAGTACCTGAGGGGAGGTGAGACGATTTCCTGGAGGAGCAACCACGGGTCAGGGAACCGCCCGAGTCCGTGTTTGTGGCACGCCAGCAGGTGCCGGGTCGGCACGCCTCCCCGGGGGCCTGGCTGCAGGGAAGCTCCGCAGGGAGACGCGAGGGGCCGGAGCCCGAGCCGCAGTCAGTGACGTTCCCCAGAATCTTTTCAAAGTGTCAAAGGATATTGGAACCATGCTAGGGCGCGCAGCAGCATTTTAAACGTCGCGAAAATTGGCCACTTTGGAAACAATTTAGTTCTACTCTGCGTATTAAATCATTTCCCCGTTTTACGACTTATAGAGAAAAATAATAATAAATTATTGTCCCCCGAGGTACTGGGAGAAATTGTGCTGCAGCAGTAAGTTATGGTCACTTGTACTATTTCAGAGACATCCGTAGCCGTTTTCATTTCAATAAAGAAACAGATTTCGTGAAAGGTGTGATGGGAAATCCATGTTCCTGGATCACGGGGGTTTTAGCACTGGGGGGGTCCCCTTTCACCTAACTCCATAAGCAAAATTATTTTTCAATTATAGGAGCTTTGGGGGCACCAATGAGCCTGGTGAATAGACATCTGGGCATGAGCTGGATACGTGGGGAAGCTCAGGGTCAGGGTCAGGGTCAGGGGTATGTTAGTGAATCACAGTCCCGAGACAGGATGGTGGATCTTCCTGCTGATTCTTGCTTTGATCTATTTATGGAAGGAGAAGCAGCAATGAGAATTCTAGAAATACATAACCCAGGGGTTGATTCTGACTGAGTCAGAAAAGTATGTTTCATTAGAGAAAAAAGTACTTGTTCCGACACTGAATTTGCCACATGAAGAGGAGCAGGAGAATGAGCTGAGACAGAGAGATGGGAGTGACGGAACGGAAGCAGTGCTGGGGGTCACGGCCACGTGCCCGGGGCCAAGAATCAGCAACCAAACAGCACCCACCGTCTGCTCTCCTGGAAGCTGGCAAGTGACACGTGGGGGGTGCGGACGACATCTGACCATTACAGTTATTAGATGTGGAAGAGGAAGACCCCCGTTACCCCCACCTCCGAGTCTTCACGACCCTGCAGGATCCCCTTCCCTTGAGCAAAGCGCTTCTACCAGAACACCACACCGCTGGATACTAAAGTGAGCGTCCGGTCCTGGACACTCACACACAGGTGGGGTGTGGGGAGAAGGAAGGTGCTTCTAAGATGTAAAGCAAACAGCTCTCACGAGAAACCAACTTTTCTCGGGGGTTCTCCCGGTTTAAACGCACCTCCTGCACACATTACCTGGGCCACCAGGACCCAGCAGGAGGAGGGAGCTCATGGCAGTGTGCCGTCCTTGGGTCCCGTCGTGGCAGCCCCAGCAGGAGGCCTCCTTGACCATGGGGGTGTCACACTTGGACAAGTGCAAACTCAGCCAGGCTGTGGCCATTTCAAAAGCTTTTCCGCCCCTGAAAGCCTGAAGCGGCTGCAGCAGCAGGCAGAGAGAAGCTGGACAGCCACTCGTGGCCTCCGACTTCCCAGAAACTTGGCTTTCAGCCACCGAGACCAACAGCCTGACACCCGGGCATCCAGGAGTCACCAACCATCCAGGCAGAGTGACTTCCAAAGTTGTCACCTGATGGGACATGAGGGTGTGGGGGAGACAGAACCAAAAATGGGGAGAGAAAGCGGAGCTGCATGGAAAGAAACTGTCCCCTTTGGCCTCAAAGTGTCACCACCAATCTGGCTCTGCCGTGTGGGAAACAAGAAGGACAGTTACCGTGCTATTCTAGAGACTTCCAAGGAGCAAGGAAAACTCTGAGATGGTATAATAAACGGTTTTTCAGCATGAGTTGTGAGCTAGAATGATTGGGAGAGAATTCTGGATCTGCCACCTACTCAGGGAATCTTGGACGTGTGCTCTGAGTTTCTGGGACTTCCGCTTATTTATTTGCAAAACAAGGATCACGAGCAAACCAACCCCAGAGCGGCTGTGTGGATGAAAGGGGATGCGTGTTTAAAGAGGATACGTTTCAACAACATGTCATCGGTGCTGAGTCAGTGTCTTAGTGACTGTCACGGGCAAAGGTGGATAATACGAAATTGAAAAGGATCAAATGGACCCATCAGTTTCTCCCCACCAATGCTGGACTTGCTTTGGAAAGTACAGTGTCCACAGGTGGCCCTCTCTGGAAGGCCTGAGATGCACTGGGCTGGACGGAAGGTGGCTGAGTCACTTCCCACCACGCTTGGAAAAGCGGCATGGCGTGGGCAACACAGGAAGCTAAAGGGTAGGAAAGGTTTCATCCCCAACGGCCCCTCCCGGGCAGGACTTCAGAGAGATGGAGTCAGCATCCTAGCCTAAGACTGGGGAAATCACACAGCCAGGGGATTAAATCAAAAATCGTGTGGCAAGCTTCGGGTCAAAATGGGGAAGATCCAACTGGTGCTGGAACTCAGGTTCAAAGTCAGGGACTGAAACCGAGAGTCAGCTGAGGTCAGAGAAGACGGAGGAAGAACAGGAATGTGTAGTTAATTCGGAAATCCGATCACATCACCCGGAACCCAGGTTCTGTCTTTCCACCCGGTTGTTATCCGGGGGTTGGCTTGTCCTGTGAGACTGCCCGGCATGGCTCCGAAATGATGCTCAGGTCTAGACATCACGGAAAACAGTTTCCAGATGCAGGAAAGAGAACATCTGTTTCTTGTATCTCTTTTTAAGAGTGAGAAAAGCCCTGGCTGGTGTGGCTCAGTGGATCGAGGGCCAGCCTCTGAGCCACAGGGTCGCCCGTTCAATTCCCAGTCAGGGCACACGCCTGGGTTGTGGGCTAGGTCCCAAGGGGGACAGGGTGCCTGAGAGGCAACCACACACTGATGTTTCTCTCCCTTTCTCTCTCCCTCCCCCTCTGTCTAAAAACAAAAAAAATAAAATCTTTAATAAAATGAGTGAGAGAAAAACATCTCAGGAAAGCTCAGCAGATTCCCCCTCAATTTCTAATTGGCCACAACCACATCATATGACCTCACCTAAACCAATCACTAAAAGGCAGGAAGGAGGCACCATGATTGGCCTGGACCCCACAGGATGCACAGACCCACCTTTCTGTGGGACGGGAGCTGGGGAGGGGCCCACCTTCTGTGAAGTGAATGGCTGACCACGTGATTCCCGGGCGACAGTGGAGCTCTGTGTCCAAGGCTGCGTGGGAGGGCAGCCGCTGAGCAGTCAACCAAGGGCATTTTACGTCTCAGCCCTCGTGATTTCCTGTCCCAACCTCAGATTTTGTCCTCTGACAACTGGAAAGTTTAGGCACCATGCTAAGCATTTCAGTGCTGCTTAACTGTCACACGGAACACGATGAGGTAGAGGGAGGTGCCATTCTGACCCTCATTCACCGTTAAGAAAACTGTCAGCGGCGAAAGAACTTTCCTAAGGTAACGGTTACAGAATGGCAGACTCAGGGCCCTTGAAACTGACGGGTTCTCGGGCTGGGCTGCCCAGGACGACAGCCATCAGTCACATGCAATTCTTCAAAGGACTTCGAATAGAAAGTCGCACTGGCCACACTGGCCACATTTTAAGTCGCACTGGCCACATTTTAAGTGCCTAATAGTGGCGTGTGGGCTGGAGGCTATCACGGCGGAGAGTGCGGGCACAGAACATTTCCGGCATCACAGACAGTTCTGTTTGGGCAGCGCTGTCCTCCCAGAACCCAAGACCTTAACCACTCCCTGCAGTGGTTCCACGTGACTCACGGGGTGAACCAGTGGTCTTCGTGGGGGTTCCCCAAGTAACCCCAGCAAAGGCAGAAGATTCCCACTTCCTTGACCCCACTTCCAGAAAAAAGGCTCAATCACAGCATGAGACTCTTATTTTTTTTTCTGAGAAACTTCTAAGCGACCAAATACTAGGGGAAGGGAGAAATTGAAAGGCATTTCCCCTATCCTAGGACTGACTCAGAGGAGGAAGAACTGGAAAGGCAACGAGGCAGTAGTGCCCTTTGAACTTGGAGATGCTCAAAATCCCACTCTGGGGAGCCTGTCCCTCCACACCCATGTCCAGCAAAAGCCCTGCCAAGGCCACGTCCCCTGGTCCCCAGGCTCCTCCCAGCTCTCACGCAGGCTGCCAATCCACCGCAAACGTATTTCCCAATTCAGGACATTGTATCAACATCAGGTGACGACGATGTGGTTTGAAATGCAACACCCAATGAGAGCCTCAGACGCTCCTCCCCTTGATCCACCCCTGCAACCATTCCTCAGTGGCCAGTGCTCAGGAGTCGGTTTGCAGTCTGGCTCATCCGACTTTCAGACCCCGGAGAGTTGGGGGGCTGAGAAGGCCCCTCCACAAAGGTGCTTCAGTGGCAGTTGGCCTAATGCACGTAGCACGTGACTATCTCCCTTCATTCGTCCCCCTTTGTGCTCAGCGCAGCCCCACCTTGGGGCTGCGGGAACAAAGTGCCCTCGGGAAGATGGAGGGCGTCTGGGAAGAACTGGGCTTGAGTCCCTCCTCTGTTACTCTCCCACCCTCCCAGAAAGGAAGGTCATCGTCCTTTAAGATCCTATCACTATAAAAAGGAGCAGAAATCACCAACCTTCTGATGTCGCTGTGAGGATCTGAGGAGGACACAGTTACAAACCATCAGGCACCTAACATGCCTTCAAATAAATGTTCCTTCCTCCTCCTTCCCATTACTGGATACGTGCCTTAGAAATCTGGATAAAACTGGGATAAATTTCGCAAGTACCGTATTTTGCAGTGTGTATGCGCACTTTTTTTTTTTTTTGCCCAAATTGTTTAGGGAAAAATAAGGATGCGCATTATACGTGGATATAATGATTACATACAATAATACCATGTACAATTCCAGCAAAACATTGGTGCGCATTATACACGGCAAAAATCAGGTGCTCTGGACAGGGAACCAGAAATATCAGCACATTTCGACCACAAGAATTTTTAAAACAGGCAACACCTGATTATTTAGTCAGGTGCACTGACCCTTTTTCCCTTAGATTTTCAATTTAAGAAAAAAATGGTGACAGTCAACAGATACAACAATAGCTATCCGATGTGAATGAATCAAAATCACCCATTTTCTTGTAGAATTTTAGTCATTAGTTTATGTGTGCCATGAGATGACCACGGAGGAGTCGATGCGCACTCGGACCTACATCTCTCCAGGCAGGCTGAGCTTCCTCTCTCAGGACAGGTGATTGACACACCAAGGTCACCAGCATACTTCACCCGGACCCCATTCCTTGCCCTCACCCCATTTTGATCCACCAGCCTATCCGAGATCTTCCCTTCTAAACTCCATCTTTAGCCACCGGCTCCCTGACCTCCTCCCCTTCCTCTCTGGCACCCATGGTCCTCCTCCAGTGTGGGAGGCTGGGTACAAGGTGAATCTCTGGGACCACACAGGGACACCTCCTGCCCTGCTCAACTGAAGTCACCTTCTTCAGGGCAGACCTCGCTATGGAAACGGAATGTGATGTCAGGGGAAGAGGAACGACACACCCCGCAGAAACCTCAGCCCCGGGGAACATCAATAAAGAAAACCAGCCCGGCACTGCTCCTTCACAGTCTACCTCCCACGTATCCCGCTGCGTCAGACAGAGCGGCAGGTGTCCTCTGCGGCTGCGAGGGAAACGGGGCGGAGAGCAAGTACGTGTTTTCAATTGGGAGGCAATGTCTGAGATGGGAGGAGGCGTGCCCGGCACGCATGTGCACGACACGTGTGCCGGGCCCCATGCTATCAGCAGAGTTCCGGGTCCTGGAAGGCAGGGACGTGGTGGGAGGGTGACTGTGTTCTGTCAGCTACTGTGGGCTCATCTGGAAGGGCCCCTGAGCACCGGGACAGAGAGGGGACGCTCCTCCGGCCCACTTACACAGAGACATATTTCTGCCCAGGGGTCAGGCCAGGACACTGTGGGCAGACACCGTGGACAACACGGCCATCTCCACAGACATCCGGAAACACAAAACGCTGAACTTGAAAAGTGCCAGCGTGCCCCGAAGTGTGTTCTAGAGAACAGCAGCTGCAATGTAAAAAGGGGGAGTCGAGAGACGGGAAATTCTACCATAAATAAAGCAAAACGTGTTTTTTATTACAGCACGTTTGAGAGTCTTTGGTGTCTAAAGCACATTGTGAATTTCAAAAGAGACAAGTAGACAAAGGCTTCCAAGCTGACGTGAGCATGGAACCCTCCTTTGCTGAGATGTGTCTTTCTGAGGAATGTTTTGCAGGGAACACCAGCCAATCTAAGCCTTTCCACCCACATGATAGACTAAAGCCCATGCGCCGAGGCATTCGCCCTCAATAGCTCTCAGTGCTCTGGGGAAACCCAGGTGTCCTGACTTCTGTCCCAGGGCCCAGCTCCACACAGTATGAACAAGGAACTTCATTTGTCCATCCACACAATGAACATTTCTCAGGCACCAACCCTGTACCTCCTTCTGGTCTAGCTACAGCAGATACAAACCAAAAAAAAAAAAAAAAAAAAAAAAAAAAGGCAGGGCCCTCACCTTCAAGGAGAGTCTCACGTACTGGAATTTAAGTAGGCAGTCAATTAGAGCTCAGGAAGTCTCCGCTTTGCATGGTTCCAACACGCACAGATTTCATTTATCACGGATTTTAAATAACACCAGTCCCCAGCGATACCGTCCACGTTTCGGTTACCACATTCTATTAACCAGAAGTAATTGCATAAAGTACAAACCTTGCTGTTGACCTTCAGCCATTATGGAAATAATAGCCGCACATCGCGATTGGTGATCAATCATGCCACTTTTTCCCAGGTCTGTTGCTGGCGGGTCACAGCACGTCTGCTGTTCAGTTCATGTACAGGCACACAAAGCGTAGCTGGGTCACTTCCCTGGGTCTCAGGGATAAGCCCACACGACACCTTCCCTAAGTGGGTAGTAAACCAAAAGAAGAGAGTCAGTAAAGATGAACATGCAGCAAAGAACTGCAGGTGACGCTGGAAGTTACAGCAGAACCCACATCCACGATATTACACAGAAACGGCTGACGGGGGAAATGTTGACACTGTCACCATTTGAGCAACTCTCAACAGGCAGCCAGGGGCACTTAGTGAAGGGGAATGTTACCACCATGAATGAACACAGTGATGAAAAAGATAAAGATGTCATAGAGGAAGGAATGCTGGAGTAAACCCTCATGTAGGAGGAGCCCCTGGAGAGAGTGTACGGCATTGAAAGTGCAAAGAATAATATCGGCTCCTTTCAAACTTAGAAAGGAGAAGGACCCTTCGAGGCACAGAAAAGGAAGCTCACTCTTGTCACACGTGAGGCACGAGGCTAAACATGGCCTTCAAACACCTTGGTAACATTTTCACAAAGAGTCTAAACACTTCAGCTCTCCATATTTCTAATTTTTAACGTGCAATGTACAAAATAGTAGTTTTAGATGGGATTTCAGCACTTTTCTATACAGCCAACCATAAAAGAGCTTTGAATGTTTGGGCAAATCTTAAGGGTTACAGAACAACTGTTGTTTTCCCATTGATTAAGGTCACTTTGCAGGGTTGCAGCTTGCACGGTCATTTCCACGGTCCTGTGCTGCCACGCAAAGCAAGGACACCCCGGACTGAACACTCAGTTTCTCTGTTTCAGAGAGAATCAGTCAAAAGCCCAACAGAAAAGCAGAGGCACACTCAAATCAGTCACTTAGGAAGGGTTACGCTACACTTTTTAAAAGCGCTACGTAAGGTGTGGCTATAAGAAACATCCCAGGCAGAGCACAGAATCCCGGGGCGGGCGGCAGCCGACCTGTTACCATCCTGGGCCCAATGGGACCAGGGGAGAATCTGCCAGAACCCAGAAGAACGGAGACTGGTGTGCAGCAGCGTACCTCCATCGGAGCAAAAGGGCCAGCCTGGGAGAGTTTTCAGGACGGCGGCCGGGAACCACAAACCCCACCGGCATTCTCTTCACTGCGCCACTGGCTGAACTTTCCCGAAGCCAGGAGGCCTCGTTAACTGTATATTGCCAACAGGTGGCAGCCCCGGGACCCCAGAGCAGAAAGGTGAACAGTTGATGAGAAGCATCAAAAGGAAAAAAATCCCAAATAAGGCCGTTTCCTGGCTAAATTCCGGGATGTGGGATGTTAAGGGCCTTAGAGAAAGTCTTTTTCGTGTGTTCAGTTTTAACACAGCAGGTAGCCCAAACCTCCCAAACTTGCTTAAACTCTAAGGAGGACTCGGGGAGCAGGAGAGAGGGGTACCTGGCAGAAGTGCGAGGCAAGAAGCGCAGTGTGGCCCTAGGAACAGTTAAAAAGGCATCACGAGCCCAGATAACCTCTCACCAAGCTTCTCTCCCTGGGCCACCGGGCTCCGCGTCCTCTCTCCTCGCCCTCCAGGCCTCTCTGCTTCTCCGTGCAACACCACAAATTACTTTCCATTAGTTCCAGCTGCCAGCAGAGACGGGTTGGTGTCTCCAGCTCCTATAAGGGGGAACCTGATTGGCCCAACTTGTTTCCCCAGCCCGCGCCTGATCCAATCAGCAGCAGCCAGGGAGGGTCACATGACACCAACATGGCTGCTCAAAGCCATCCTGGGAATGAAAAGGACTTTTTCAGAAATCAAAGATTGACAGGGCTGGGCTGTCGCTCCAAAAGATGGAGTTAGCGCACTGGGTCTACTTTTATTTGGAAAACACTTTTTACGAAAAGAATTTTCGTAAAAAGAGCAGTGCCAGGCCCTGTTCCAAGTGGTTGTCTTCACTTACAAGGACTCTTTGAGACAGACGCTACTAGCAGTCCATTTTACAGATGAGGAAACTGGGGCCCAGAGATATTGGAGTGATTTTTTCCAAGGTCACACAGATGCTCAATGGCAAAGTTGATGTTTGAACCCACAGAGCGTGAGTCCAGGATTCACGCTTTTAATCACGATCTTCTACTATCTCTTACTTTTAAATACAAGAAAATGATGGTCTCCATCCCCCAGCCCCTTAAACCCTTCAGAGATCAAGGTGAAGAAGCGCTCAACCACCCTCAACAAACGTGCAGAAAACAATTAAACCCTTCATAGAGTAAAGGCAAAACACCTGTTCCTCCATCCACTCCACTTCTTCCCGTTCCTCTGACTTCTGGCCACAGATTCAGAGAACAGAAATGAAAGTAGGAAAAGAGAATGCTCTCCCTGCTCACCATCTGCAAATCATCAGCAGTGGTACAATTCAAAAACAAAGCACCACAACAAACTACAAAGGCAAAAAATGCCCAACAGCCATGGGATTCAAGGCGTGTCTCCCAACAGGTGCTAACGGCAGCTGATCCGCACAGCATCTCAGCATCTTCTCGTCCCACGCTTCCAGCTCCAGGGCCCTGGGGCTGACGCAAGGTACCTCGGCCCATCTTTGAGGCAAACCAGCCTTCTCCTCGGGAGACCTCATCCAGTCCCATGGATCCAATTAGTTACCAGATGTCGGTGACTCTCCAATCTTTATTCAACCCAGATCTCCCTCCTGCCCTGGAGCCCAACGAGCCAACAACCAGCTGGCCTTCCCCACTTGGATATGACACCAGCCCTTCTAATGCAGCCTGCCCCAAACTGACTCCATCATCTCCGTGCCCAGATGCACCTCTCCTCCATTGGTCTCCACCTCGAAGAAAGTGGTTCCGCCCTATATCCAGCCACCCGAGTCCAAATTCTAG